AATATATACAGTGAAAGCCAGGGCAGAACGTGGTGGGGAATAGGGAGGCTTTTGTTAGGTGGAGTTGGTTTTTTTCTATCCATTAAGTCAGTTTAATTAGCTAATGTGAAATGCTAGGGCACACCTCGGTGTATACACTGACCCAATCAATACTAACACACATATGCATTTTCTATCATGGCCCTACAAAGCCTAACTACTGTATTTCCTTCATGATACTAACTGAAAGCAGTTTCTTCTTCAGGACTTTTAGCAGAAAACTTTGAGTCAGGACCAGTTCTGGCAAGCCCCTGCTTGCCAACCTGCTTGAATTGTGGCTCTCTAAGCAATTATTAAGAGCTTGATCAAATTACCTCATGGTTGTCAGTCTCTTTTTTTTTTCAGTAGTAAAATTAACATCATAACACTAACCCTGTACACATCCTAGGGGGACCAGATGAAATATAGCTCAAACGTCCATGGTACATATTGGGTACTAAGTGTTCAGCCTTACCTTTACAGTAGGCTACAGGGATAGTACAACACTACAATACATTGTAACAGTCAATATTATTGCTATAATACAGGGAAAAACAATGGTGGGGGGCACAAATGGGAAACTCCTTGAGTCTAAGGAACTGTTTCACAAATAATTAAATTTTTTTTTTAAAGAAGTACTACATCCAACATTACCTGATGATAAATTACGGGAACAAGCACATTCTTGTCTAGATTAATATAACTGCTCAGGTAGAATAAGTAAATGAATAAATGGATTAAGGCAGCGAATTCTGTGTGTCGCTATCTATATAACCACTTACAGCAGTGTGACTTCTATTAAGTGACTTACTGAGGCACCCTCAGGCTAACTGGCACTGGAAATGAGGAAGAAGGAGATGGGGCAGGAGGCATAGACAATATACAAATCCTAAAATTCCAATAGCACCTGTGGTTCAAGATCATAAATTCAAATTCTGGGTTCAGATAATTTCAAGGTAGTCTAATATTCATGCGATCCTATTGCAGTAAGAAATGCCACCAGGCAGGTGACTTATGTAATTGTTTCAGCCACTCTGGATGATTTCAAGCAGGAGAGGGTGGGACAGTTGAGGGCAGGGATGGTCAAACCCCACTAGAGAGAAGAGTGCGCATCTGGATGCAAGGACTGCGTGACTCTACCCTGTGAAAGAGATCTGGGGAAAAGAGAATTTTTATCTTTTTTTCTGGAGAGAGTATTAGGTGGAAAGCCAACACAATCCTTGGTGATGCTGGGCGAAGCAGCTAAGATCAATCATCTGTGAAGGAAGCATGTGCCTGTCTAAAAAGAAGCAAGCATCGGATAAAACAAAATGAGTCTGACTCTAAAGTAACACTGTAAGGGCTTCGGAGCCAGCACTGATCCCATCCTAAGTTTTTCTTCTTTCTGAAGATAACCAGATGAGGACTTTTTATTAAAGTATCACTCTATGCATGTGCTTGGAACAAAGGATTCACGTTGCCATGGGAGATCTGCATCTAACTGGAAAAATGAGACAAAAAGATCCGCTTTTCAAATCTACAGTTCATATTATTTTAAATGTTCTTTTCTGCCCAGCTCATCTCCTTTTCTCCATTTTCTTTTCCATCTCCTCTACTTTAGATGGACGAATTGTAACTGCATTCAAAGTTGTAGAGCAATCTACAACTACAGCATATACTTTCAGATGTGGCTTAATTAGAGAAAATATGCATCAAAAGAGCAAAAGGAATACGCTTCCTCCAACAGCACCCTGTATGACTATATGAGATCAGAAATTGGGAATTTTTTTTAAAAAAAGATTTACTTATTTTTATTGCAAAGCCAGATATACAGAGGGGAGAGCATCCGTCCGATGATTCACTCTCCAAGTGACCACAACAGTTGGAGCTGTGCTGATCTGAAGCCAGGAGCCAGGAGCTTCTTCCAAGTCTCCCATGCGGGTGAAGGGTACCAAGGCTTCCTTACCCAGCAGGGAGCTGGATGGGAAGCAAGGTTGCTGGGACTAGAAGTGGTACCCACATGGGATCCCCGTGCATTTAAGGTGAGGACACTACCTGCTAGGCCACCATGCCGGTCCCAAGAGATTGGGATTCTTAATACGCCAGAAGGAATAAATGAGAACACTGAATAGCAAAGAAACCAAATAAAACAATGGGAATCAATATTCTCTCTAAGTTATTCCTGATACTTGAATTTCAGCTTTCTGCTTATCAAATTTAAGTAATAACTGTAGCTACACATAAAAGTTTGGAGGATTAATCAAGAATACAAAAAAAAAATGTATTTGAGCTGAGATTAGGAAACAAGCCTTCAGAGTAGTGTCAGGCACTGTGGTTGCTTTTTGAAATGTTTATATAGTATTTATTTGAGGGGCACAGCAAGTGAAGGAGAAAGAGGGAGTGAAAGAGGATTAAGAAAGGAATGGTAGGTAGAGTGAACGAGAGTGAGAGAGAGAGCCCCAAATAACTGCAACAGCCAGGGATGGGCCAAGGTGAAACCAGAAGCCAGGAACTCCATCTGGGTCTCCCATGTGAGTGTTTGGGATCTAAGTGTTTTGAATCATTTTCAGCTACCTTCTAGGTGCAAAATAGCAAGAAGCCATATTGGAACAGTAGTGAAACTCAATCCCAGACATTCTAATATGGGACGTGGACATCCCGGGTGGCAGCTTAACTCATTATGTTACCATGTTGTCTTCCATGGCTGTGAATATTATGAAGGACATTTAAGGCTCAAGAAAATCATGTAGGGTCAGCACTGTAGTATAGTGGGTTAAGCTGCTGCCTTCAGCACTGGCATCATAGACACAAGCTAGTTCCAGTTCTGGCTGTTTCACTAGTGATCTGACTCCCTGCCAATGCACCTGGGAAAGCAGTAGGAGATGGCCTGAGTACATGGACTCTTGCCACCTGCTTCAGAGACCTGTATGGAGTTCTGGGCTTCTGGCTACAGCCTGGCCCAACCTTGCTCATCCTGGTAATATACTGATTTAATGAATGGATAGCAGGTCTTTATTTCTCTTTATAACTCTTTCAAATAAATAATGTACTAAAAAAGGTCATATAAAAATTTCTTTTGCAGCTAATCCAATAAGCTGCAATTATTCATGTTACCAAGGTTGGCATGGGCATTGTGGTACAATGTACTAAATAACCTCCTGAGATGCCTGCATCTCATAACAAAGTGCTGATTCAAGCCCTGCCTACTGCTCCCCTTCTGATTTAGCTTCTTGATAATTTTAGCCCTTGGAGGCAGAGGATGGTGGCTTAAATATTTTCGTTCCTGCCACAAAAGTGGGAGACTTAGATTGAGTTCTAAGCTCCTGTCTTGGGTTGGCCTAGTTCTGGATACTGTGGAAATCTGGCAAGTGAAACAATGGATTGAGGATTTCTCTCCACCTATGTTCATGTATCTCTGTCTCTTCTTAAAATAAAAAAAAATACACATATAAATTCATTTATATTTTCAATTTAGCTATTTGAAGGGTAAGTATTGTGGTCAGGTGGGTTACTCCCCAGTTTAAGATATATGCATGTTATATCAGAATTCCTGGGTTTGAATCCTGCCTTTGTTTCTGACCCAGCTCCTACTAATGTGCCTTGGAGATAGAAAAGTATGGTTCAGGTAACTGAGTTCCAGACACAGCATGGAGATACAGACTGAACACTTGGTTCCTGGCTTAAGCCTTGCTTACCCCCAGCTTTTGCAGGAATTAATGGATTGAAGGAGTGGATGGAAGAGTTCTGCCTGTCTCTACCTCTTGTCAGTATTTCTTTCAGATAAATTCTCAATTAAAATTATTTATCAGAAGAGAGAGAGACAGAGAGAAATTTCCCAGTAGCTGGTCCATTCTCTAAATGTTCATGATAGATAGGGCTTGGCGAAAGCCAGAACCTGCCAAAGATCCAGTTCTCCTATGTAGGTGTCAGTGAACCAATTAATTCAGTAATATTGCCCCTCCCCGCTCCCTCCCCCTCCCGAGTGCATACTAGCAGGAAGCTTCAGTTGGGAGTAAAGGTAGGACTTGAACCCAGCACTCAGATATGAGGTGACGGCAATCCCAAGCAGCAGCTTAGCAGCTGCGCCAAATTCCTGCCCCTACTTTGTTATTTTGCACTTTCTTGTCTCTGTTCCTCTACAAACCTTCATGCCCAGAAAGTTGTCCCTACCTCTCATGGCCTAATTTGTTACTGCTTGTTTTTGAAAGGTCAGGATAGATACCTTCACTTCTGCAGAATTCTCTAACTTAGCTTTGTGTTAACTCTGTACACTATGTCTCAGATACAGCTCTCAGCTTAGTAAGCTCTTACAGGGCTCTTTCCTCTCCCTTATTAGACATTCCTATTAATTCAATACACTTTCAATTAATTCAAAATATTAATTCAGGCATCTTATATCAATCAGGCACTGAGCTGCAAAGGGAGGTATGACATGGCCTTTACCTTTAAGTAGTTCGTAGTCTTCTAGAAAAGACAGATTAGCAAATTAATAAAAAATATTAAATTTTAATGAGAGAGGACAGTCCCTCTATGTGTCAAAGAACCTTATAACCTGGGAAAGAACCAAACACAGAGGGACAGATTTATGGAGGAACTTGAGCCATGAGAAGGCTATGAGTAGACTTCCTCATATGTGGCATTGTGTATAGGCAGTACACAGGCTATGACATGTCCAGAAATCAACCTGGGATGGATTTCAAGGACTAGGGCAACAGCATACAGTTTGGCTGAAGGGTAATGCTGTGTTTTTCACAAAGCTGGAGAAATGGACTGGCCTGGGGATAGGTCAGCTGAGAGTTGGGGTGCTCTTCTCCACCTGAGCACCATCTCTGCCCATAGCAGAGACAGGGCCACATGCACCATGTGCCTCACTGGACACAAAGAAGCACTTCAGTTTGTCTTAGGAGTATGCAAACCTTCCACGGATGGAGTTCATAGATTGTGAGGTAAAATGGGTGACTAGGTACAAGTGCTCATGGTAGTACAAGCAAGCGGTAACTTACCAATTTCCCAGTAACACTCTGGCCACCTTCATTCAACCAGAAATCAGGAACCATGGCTGAGAAATAAGGCCCCCAGACACCAGGTACAAAAATTGGGTCCTTGCTGATCTGAAAGGAAAGAAAAATTTATGAGAGAACACTGACCCTTAAGGATAGAAGGAACTATCCCTTCTTCCAAAATTGTTGCTATGACTGAGGAAATCAGCTGCTTCCTGAGTATCTCTTTGGCTAGGGAAGTCACTCTCTTTTTCAGAAAAGCCACTGCTCCTTCTTTAGAAATCTGACAAATTTCTTCAGATATCAAGATAGTGAAAGTGATCACACACACACACACACACACACAACCAAAAAACCAACAAAATGATGAGACATTCTTGCGGGTTTGCTGTCTGTGACAGAGTGTGAAAATGCTCCCAACTTACTACTCTTCCTATGTCCATTGTGGTCCTACAGCTCCTCTCATGGAGAGATGGTTTATTCCCCTACCTCCTGTATCTGGCTCAACTTTGAGATCTGTTTTGTGAACAGAATGATGTGAAGGTGACACTGTGCCAACTCATTAGATCTAAGACTCAAGAGAGCTGGGGACTTCAATTTTGTTTATCTTCCACATTGACCACAAGAATATACCTAGATTTGTCTGTTGGATAAAATGACAGGTACAGTTGGGCCAAGTCAGCTCAGCTCCCAGCTGTGGGCCCAAACACACAAGAACTAAAAATTCTAGTTGTCTAGCAGCTGATTAATCCAGAACATCATCATCACCCACAAACCAACAAGTTTCTGAGATAAACAAGCCTAGTTAGAAGTTTATGTTTGTTACCCAGCACTTCTGTGGCCATTGATAACTGATGTATTTGCTCAATTTTACAAACACATATAGGCTCTCTGTCTTCCTTGGGTGTGAGGGACAGAGATGAGCATGGGTTCTTACCTCTAATGAGTTCTCCTCTGGGGAGTAGTGAGATGGGGAGCCTAAGCTAAAAGAAGGAAAGACAACATGTAGAAGGCTGGGGAGGGGTACAACTTGTCAAAGAATAATGCACATAAGGGCCACTATTTCTTTATGGGCTTCAAAGCCAACTGGTCATAACCAAAGGGCAAACACTTAGATCAGCTACCTCTAATCATGAAGCACAAGATGTAGACTCTTCATCTTTGTCAGTGTGATTTAACACTAAGGTAGAAGCTTCATATTCTTGTATGATTTATTCAAATTAATCCAATTAGCTACTGACAAATCAGTTTAAACAGCTAACATTTGTTCCCCCCAAAACAAATGTTAGCATCAAGCACCCAGTCATAAAAAAGGGTCAAAATACTTTTTCCTTCAGATGTTTTATAAACAGCACTACAGCTGCTTGAAGGCTAGCTGCTTCTCACTAGGCTTGAGGTTTTATGGCTCGTCATCTGTATGTTGTGTATAGCAATATATTTTAAGGCTTTCCCTAAATTGCTCTGATTTTATTTTTGACAAGTAGAATGGAACAGAGGTAGCTACTTAGAGAAAAGGATGTAAGCTTTGTTTTATCAGACTAGTAACTAGTTTTTGTGTGGCAGCTGTGGGATTCAGCTTGGGTAAAGAGCTTGCACAGAGCTGTGTGGGTGAGAGAAGAGATATTCAGGGTTCAAAGCTTGCAGGCATCCTTGTACAAATCACAGCAATTCCTTTAAGTTCACAATAAGCCCACAGAGATGGTCCAGGACAAGCAAGGCTGCACCATGTACTATCCATCTATCAATAAAGGATATTGAAGGCTGAGTCATAGTTATGGAAAGTTTAGTAGAGGGTACAGGGAAATGGAGTCAGGCACACAAAGCCTACTCTGCCAGGTCTTAAAGCTAGACACAGAATCTAATTCATCTTTTTCTTCAACAAACATTCATTCAGCTTTCTCTAGATGCTTCATTCTGTGTGTGCTAGGACCTAGGGATATGGAGGTGAACTCAGGAACTTGACAGACTAGCATGTTAGAAACTGACCTTCTTTCATTGTCTTGATCCCAATTATTCCAGTTTACTTTACACTAAATTTAGTCAGCCCTTGAAACTATAGGAATCCCAATGTCCAAATGAGGAGGGACTGAAGGAAGGCAATGGAATTGTACCACACAACCTTAAATTTCAGCCAGTCATTGTCATTTCTAAAAGCAGAACATTTTGCATATAAAATGGAAATAATCTCAGGGGATTTCACAAAGCAAACAGGTTGACTTACTCTGAGGATGTTCTTCATTCCTTTATTGATTCAACAGCTGTTTCCTGAGTTTCTACTGTGTTCCAAATCTGTGCCAGGACTGCAGAAGCTGGTGAACAGCACCACGGCACCTGTCTCTGTGGAGTACTCTGACAAGGTTCTTCCAGACCCAGCACTGAACATCCTGCATTCTGGAAAGCCCTTCAGTTCTAATCAAACTGAAACAATTGAGCACTCTAAGCCAGTATTAACCAGATAATCTAGAATGAGTAATTAGAAATTGTGAGATGAGAAATGGAGGAAACTTAAGGAGTGCAGAGATCACATGAACCTAATTTAGTCTGGATAGGGGAAAGTTTCTTTGAGAAAATGATGTGTGAATTAGGACATAAAGCATGCACAGAAGTTATTCAGATATATCTGTGTGTTTGGGGGGGGGGTGAAAGTTAGATAGATAGACATGGATTTGATTTGACTTATACAGTGTTCCTGGCATAAAGAACACAAATTTTATTTATATCTGTCATTATGCTTCCATGCCAACACAGAAACTTCTGCCTCAATTGTATCCCAGTACTTCTTTGTGGTGAATATGACAGTCAATGATTATATGCACTTAAGACACAAGCTTTGGACAAGCAGGTAGACATCCAGGCAAGGCAAAATATTTCTCTTGGTGTCCTGCACCCTTCCCTCTTTATAGAATCCAAGCTTGTCAATAGCTAAGGAGGGATTTGAACTGAGACAGATGTTGACCTCAAACCTCAGGGCATTGCTCTTTACCCAGCTGTACAGATAAACATCTTAGCAGCAATACACAAATCCCTCTTCCTGCCATTCCTGGTTCCACAATCTAAGCATGTTTCTATGTCATTTGCAGCAACACTTCCTTAGAAGACGGTGACTGTGTGATGGGAAAAGGTCAGCTGACAGTTTTGCTTAATTGTGCCCGGGAAGTTCTAAGCTGATTTCTGTGTGCTCACTCAGTAGGAAAAGCATGTGCTTGTCATCAGACATCCCCAGTAACACAGGAAAACAGAGTGCTTCCAGTTACCCCTGGGCCCTGTGCTCAGAGGAAACCAGTAACTGTTTGTTTTTAGAGAGAAAGTGAGACCGAGAAAGAGAATACACGTTCTGTGCTAATGTGCTTATTAATCCTCTGCTTATTAAATATAAGCATTTACAAATGTTTCGTGCAAATTCCTTCCCTAATGATGATGATAATATTGGTTTGGAGGTATTTTTGGCCCATGGCACTGCTGCCAGGTGTCCATCCTGGACACAATTTCTCAGTAATAATGATGCTGTTGACAGCATCAACAACAGCTAAACAAGACTAACAGGATGCTTGGTCAAGGCTATGTTAGAAGCATGTTACAGATATTAAGTGCTTCATCCTCACAATGAACCTAAGGGAGCATTATGCCACTATTCCTGTTGCACAAATGTGTGCATCAGACATGTGCATCAGCATTACAAATACACCTAGCAAGTGGGTTCCCCATTCCATCTTGTCTGTGCCACACTATAATCTTGTTTTTAGGGTATTACTGTTTCTTAGAGTCTTTCTTGTCTTTGAGGGACAGAAAGCAAGGATCATTGTAGTAAACATAGACTCTAAAAATGTGATGACACGTAGTTTAGAGAATCATCATTTTCAAAGGCTTTCCATTGGTTTTCTACAATAAATTTATGAGCATTTTAAGAGAAAACATGGGTCAGGACATGATCCATGTTGATTGTAGTTCGATCGTGTGACATTCTAGCCAGGTAATCTTTCACAAGTTAGTCTTTCTAAATCTCAGCTTTCCTCAGTTCCAAAATGAGAGGATTTTTATGAATGCTTCAGGAATGTTTGAAGATTAAGGAAGCAGTCATATCGAAACACTTTATTTGGCATCACTGTCACGTCAGGTGAAGCTGCAATGGCATTCATTCTGTGTTGCAGCACAGATTTGAGTCTCTGCTGCTTTGCTTCTGATACAGCTCCCTGCTAATGCAACAAGGAAATCAAGGGAAGATGACTTACATGGTTGGCCCTGCCACCATGAGAGACCCAATCGGAGTTCTAGACTCCTGGCTCTGGCCTTGTCCAACCCTAGCCATTGTGGCCATCTGGGGAGTGATCAAAGTTCTCTATTTCCCTTTGTCTCGCTATGCTCCTGTCATTTGCCTGTCAAATTAAATAAATAAATCTGAAAAAAGAAAACCCACAGTTGATCCTATGAGAAATATCAAATAAACATCAGGCTGTTCTTAAAATGAGTTATTTATGATGTAAGAGCCAGTTGATTGCCTGAACAATCACAGCTAAAAGTAATTGCAAGCATAAGGGAAGTATCCAGATGAGTTCTTCAACTTATTTTAGCCAATATTCTTAATAACAGAGTAGAAAACAAAATTCAATAAAGCTTTTCACATTTTTATAGGGTTAGAGAAAGCCTGCCTATTATGAGACATGTCCAAATTAAAGTTCAAAATTATCTGGAAGTGCTAGAACTCTACACAAAATTCAACAAGACAACAGTTAATATTTGATAATACAGCTGAAAATTCATACTTAAAAGGTAACAGAAACATTTTGTTTCATATATTCGATAACAGGTAAACATGAATTCATTTAAACTTTAAACACTAAACTCTAACTTTTAAAATGGAAAAGATACAGACTGTTAGGTATGAGAGTCATGTGAGTGACACATCTCTATGTTCTTGTTTACAGTTCAACAGGAGCTGGAGTTCAGGATGCGCCAGGGAATGCCTCAGGAGTCAATGCATTCAGAAAGTTATCCTTACTGTCCTTGGCCTTTATTTTGGTCAAGGAGATAGGCATACAGGATAGGCATAACCTCTTTCTGTTATCTGCCTCTCTCCATGCCTGTACCCGAGCTGGATCTGTGAATGCGTGCCT